TTAACTCTTTTGTAATACTGTAACACACTGTAAGATCAAACACTGCAGTCAGTCAATGCATCAATCTGGAATAATCACTTAGCTTTAAAAGGACATCGCTGAACAACGTTAAAGGAGTCTAAGCCAGACCTTTAGAAGTAAAAAGCTCTTGAAGTGTCCGCTTATTGCAGATTTTGTGCACAAAATGGCTTAATATTGGTGTCCGCGCCCGCTTAACTGAGGCGTCCGCTGAATGCAGGTTTATTTTACAGTAAAAACTAATAGAGGGTGTCCGCTTAATATGAGGTCCGCTTAATATGGGGTCCGCTTAACTGTACTTAGATGTTTAGGGGTTCCCATGCTTTACTCGGTAGTCTGAAACGAGCACGGATCCCGAGAATGGCGCACTGCGTCACGGGCACTGCACGGCGCAATTGTGCCGTGTGTCTGGGCCCCTCGCGCAATATTGAACCGTGTGTCTGGGCCTTATGTTCCAGATGGCTTTTGACCGAAATGAGGTTGGTAAACCGTTCATTATGAAACAAGTCTTGTCTGGTGGTTAGTACACGCTGTCAAGACATTGTTTAAACAGTCTCGAAACAGTCCGCCCACATGTTTTGCTTGTTTTCTTTCGGTTGAGCAGCCTTTCAAGACTGACACACCCAGACTGCAGCTGTGTTAAGCAACAAAAAAAACGCCGACATCCAATGACGGCATAGTTGAATTTTGCCTTGCAAAATCCAACTTGAACATTTTGGATGCTGTTATCCAAAAGAATGGTTTACCGTTAGATTGCTTCTAGTGCTCTACGTCAGACTACAGCGGAAATTTTGCAAGCAATGATTGGTCCAGGCATAATCGAATTTCATGCCCCGTAAACACGACATTTTGAAAATTTATGAGCGATATTTTTATACAACAAGGTACAGGCAGCAACTGACCCTTGCCATTTATAGCGTCCTTGTCGCTCTCTCAATAACTAACAATAATCTTGCACCAAGAAATGTCTTAAAACAATGCCACAAAGTTTTACTGATATCTTATAGAACGATGACAAAGAAAATTAAATGCCCCAAAATTTGGCATTATCTAAGTTGTCTTGGCTGTGTACGGAGTAAACAATGACGCGGAACACTTGGTTACACGTGAATGCGCATAATTTTGGTTGCCAGTATCTTTTTGTTTAACGGGAAAAGCGTTGGAAGTCGATGACGCACGTACGAAACTTTGGGAACCTCAGTTGAATTGGCGTGGATACAGCGAGATGTTGATGCCATCTACTAGCAGCTGATATTGCAACTTTGTTATAGAAATGGGAAAGCACTTTTATGTTTAAATTGTGTTGCTATGTGGAAATTACAGACGTGCACAGTTTTAAGCGGTGAGTTGGCGGTGAATTTTAAAAACCTTGATGTTTTTGTAGCTGTGTAAACTGTTCGACTTAGCCATGGCAGTTTGCTTAGAATTCGCCGTTGTCGTTTTGAAGCAGTGTGTTTACCGCAGCTCAACGCTATTTCGGAACATGTAGAAATCCTGCTTTATTTTAAATGTACAACACAGCTAAATGGCGTTGTTTTTCTGAGTAATGCAAATTCCATACTCGATCAAACAGTAGTAAATTAGCCACAATAAGCGAGTTGAAAAGCTGCATTGAGGACTACAATTTTCCCTTCTCTCTCACGCAGGAAAATTGTCCAGTTTATCTGTTTCTAAAGTTTCGTTGTGTATGTATAGCAGTGAATTTATGCTTATTTGATCAAAATGTTTTTAATCAAATACTGATCATCCGCACGTTTATTTTATGATCAGAATCGATTATATAAATAGCGCAAAATCGAAAATAAAAGGCCACGACAGCTCTATTATGTTAATAAAATTGCATAACGTCGGTGCAAGCTATTCAAAACTTAGCTGGTGAAAATAAGTTTTTTTTCTGATCATTTACGTTAGTGCGCGGGGGTCAACCGTCTGGTGGAGTCTGGCAAATTGTTATATTGGCTGTTGTGACAGTCGCTGATCATAACGGTCACAACAGGTCATCACGCTGGAGCGTTTATTCCCAAAGGGTTTGTTTTAACGGTTATTTAATCGCCTTTAACATAGGAATAAAGCCGCTTTTGCATAATCAATTTTCAGCGCTTCAACCTTATTTCCGTGGTTTTGCGCGTGAAAGCTCTGCAAGTCGCTCTTTTTCACTGGAATGATCATTTTTTGAGAATTTTTCCTCTTCGCGCAGAAGCCGAACCAAATCAAGTGGATGAGACTTAATTATTCCTTTGTCTTTTTTAATGTAAAGAAACTATTGTTTTCTTTGCTCAGTAATCAAGTGGGGCTATAAATAACATCAATACATAAAACTTAGAACGGCACTTCATTCGACAGGTTCATTTTTTGCCCATAACTTGTTGGCGCCTCTAGTTCGTTAAAAAAGCATGTATTTTTCAAAACGAGATTAGCATGTCAGTTAACTGATTGTCAGTCGCCTAGAAAACAGTAATCTAAATTCAGCTCCTCCAGCCTCTAGTCATCGTAACATTCCAAAGGTAAGCAAATGAGTAAAGAGACTGGAAAAACGACAGTCCTCCATTAGGGGATGATGGGATTTCGTCACGATGTAGATCAGTTAACTCAGGTTGGACAAACAACCTTTTGTGCACGTTGACACATGCATGTTGTTGTTAGCGCAAGGTCTTGAATTGTTAACTGATCATGACTGGATGCCGTTTTATGCATTCAGCATGCTGACTGTAGGCATAACAGTTGCAAAACCTTCTGGTAAACTGCTTCCAACAGTCACATGAGTTTTATCGCAGCAATTTTCCCATTTTGCCTTTTTACAATGCGCTAGCGCTCCCAATTTTAGTACTGACTTTTTTTGTAACCATTCCTTGCTCGATATGGCATCAGTTGGTTACCAGAGGTCGATCCTAAGTAACTCATATTTTTTTAATTTTTGGTTGTCTCTGATGATAAGTAACACAAACCAAGGGTCAGCGTACATGAAATGACAAAACACTCGTGAAGGGGGTCACATGCAAGGGAGCTCTACGTTCTGGGCAAGGTAGTGTTTACCGTAAGGGGGTGGAAATAATTTCACTGTTTTTTTTTCCTCCACAGTTCCTGGTCGTTGACAACTTCTTACTCATTTCCTAGTAAAAGAATCTGAAAATGGCGACTTTCGCCGCCAAGTATCTCGTGTCCAGTGCGGCCAGCGGAGTAACAGGCCGAGTAGGAGAGTTCAGTGGTGACCTGGGAAAACAACTCAGCATGGAAAACTTGACTAAAAAGGACCTAGAAAGAGCCGAAAAAGAACTCAATAAAGAAGAGAGGGATCGTAAAAAGAAACATTACAGGATGGAAGCGTCGAGAGAAAAACTACGAACTGACATTAGAGGAAAATACGGAATCAAAAAAAGAAGAGCGCACGAGCCGGTTGAAACACATACTGGGATTTTAATGCCAAAAAGCGAAAAGGAACTTTTGCTGGCGACTGAGAAAGAAGAAGAGGAGGATGATGACTGTGCATGTAGCCCTTGTTCTTGTACATGGGCTTCTTTATGCTGTCCATTTCTGTCAAAAAATACAAAGCATTCTTAAGGGTCCTGAATTACCGTAGGTGTATATGTTGTCGGTTCAAATTGTTTTTTCAGGTTAATTTGTTTCCAGCCTATATTACCTGAAAAGAAGCTGAACTACAATATATATATGTACGTTGATTCGTTGACTGAAGAAAAGAACTGAACGCCTGGAAGAGGCTAAAGAAAAGAATATTTAAAAAGACTACATTTATTTGCGAAAGGGTCGCAAAGTAGTTATAATTAATAGTCTGCCACATCAGTAAAGCAAAATAAACTAAGGTTGGGCTGTCTGACGAAGTTACATATGGTAAAGAAGGGCTAACCTTCAAAATATTAACTGCTATCGACTAAACACTTCAGCTTCCTTCAGCTGGAGAGCTGGTTCTGGAGAGATGCAGAGGTTTCGTGAAAGAAATATTTTTAAACAACATATCTTTGCGATAGAAATCGAAGTACAAACTCTGAGTTTTCTTTCTGAGTTCTCAGCGTTTGACGCACAATGCAGTGCTCGCGCTGTTGAGGGCCGAAATAAAAACCATTTTGCGAGGAAGATCTTTGTCATTGTCAATAGTTTTGCGATTTTCGCGTTTTTCTAAGGGTTCGCCTCAACTAGAGTTCCATACGCAGTCAGTATCGACAGGAAACAGGTCGTGTTGTCGGTAAATCCTCGTGAAAGAGTCGTAAGAGCACTTGCCGCGTTTCTGATACTTTATTGTTTAATCAGTACTTCGGAAGTCGCGTCATTCCTCGGATGTTTCCTTCCCTCTTTCCCTCCCTCTCTCCCGTTACATATTTATTCACCTACCTATTTCTTCTTTATTTTGATGAAAATCCTACAATCTTAATTGAGTATCGCATTAAATGTGATACAAAATGTTTAGAATATAAATTTGTCCCAATTATAACAAAAAAAACTGCAACACAAATTGGTTAAGGTAAACTACAGCTGAAGAAGAGACGAACTCGATGTTCACTTAGTTATCCAAACTACTTTTTCCAAGCATAAATTATTCTGGGGAAAAAGAAACAACTGAATACACACTAAAGTACTAAATACAAGGCGTAACCTTTCGAAGAGCGCCTGGTTCCTCTTCTTCACAATCAAAATAAACTGAAGATACAACCTTAAAAAAAAGTCACAAGAAATTTTTAAAACCAGCTAAAAACTTACTTTAAGTTTACAAATCTTTCCTAATTCCAGCCCTAATAATTTTTTGAACATTTAAAAATACTTCAAGAACCTCAGTCGCTGTTGGTCTCACTTCAGGATTTTCCTGTTTACATGACTCATGAATCCCCAGCAGAAGTCGCCTTACATAATTGCTATTATGAACTCGGCCAAGCAGTTTGTCTACAACATTTGGTATTCTCCAGATGTCAATCATCTCGTCGTAAGCAGGCATTTCTTCCTCATTAAATGCGTGTGAATCTCCGTAAGGCCAGAGTTGTTCAGGAGCTACAAAATCCCCAAACAATTCTCTGCGTCCACACTTGATCAGTTCACCTTCATTGAGTTTGACTTCTGGTAAAGCGTCAAGATCATTGACGACAAGGTGAAAGTCATCAGTGATAAGATACTGTGAGAGAGTCTTTACTATGTCATTTGAGTCACACATGACTCGTATACCAAGAGGGCTATTATGAAGAAACTGAAGGATTTTTACATAGTCTATACACAGCTGAAATCTTGTTTCCAAGGTGTTGAATTCACTAAGTTCTGGTCTATCGAGGAGTTCATCAAGTTTGTCCGCAGAACCATGCTTGTAATAGCCTGTTATTATCTGATAAGAAATGTTTGACAGAAAAAAAAAAAATGAATAGCTGTGTACATAATGAAACCAAGATGATTAACACACCATCACATACCAGATAGGGTTTATACTAGCCCGAAAACCACAATGGCTATACGCAAATGGTAAACTATGTGGAACAGTGAAGCACTACTACTGCCTTGGTTATACATGTAACTTGTAGTAAGTTGGGTTATTCTTATACAGGTGATCATGTTTCACGTATAGTTTAAAAAAAGGTCTGAGTGCTTTAAGAAACTTTACCTACATAACCTAGAGTTCAAGAAGAGAGAGTGTGTATGACTGGTAGGACAGTACAAAGTATTTCAGTCTTTGTAGTTTATACTTCTGTAAATAAGACGTCATCATTGAAATGGAGTGAGGAAATCAAAATAACTAGCGTTCACCGAAGTAAGCTCAAACAAAGAAGTGTCTACCTCTAGGCTGTCACTGTAGCATATGCCAATGAGTTGAACAACAAATTCGCTTCCTTGAAGACCTTCCACCATATGCATTCCATGTAGACAATCTTCGTAATACAAGTGACTAGCGCATTTACTATATACCACATCATACCCATGCCAGTCTGCCAGGTAAACTTCTTTTACGGCATTTAGATGACCAGGAATTCCAATTCGACGCCGTGTTCTAACATCAAGAGCAATGTTGGTACAATCTAACCACTGTAAACAGGTAATCCAACCGTGAAAACTAAATTGACCGCGCGGGCAACGAACGCAGTTTCCGTCAACAACGTGGAAATTAGACTCACATTCTGACTTCCTTTTGTTACTATCAGAGCCACTTTGTCTCCCTTTGTGTGTATCGTTCCTTCTAGTCGCTTTTCTTCCAGAAAATAGCAGATAATAAGTCAGTAAAAGGAAAGGAAATGGAGTTAAATAAACTTTCAAGTTGACCGCCATCTTTTTTTTGTATGTTATGAGGATAGATTAGGTAATAGTCTCCAGTTTATCCGTGAAATTTTGCGGGAAGTCTGGGCTGTGATTTGGGCGCCATTTTTCGAACGAACGTTTGTGGAAATAGACAAGTTTGTTTTCCCACTATCAATTTCACTTATTTGCAGATCGTATTTGGACCTTTCCGCTATGCCTTCCCGGTATGACAGTGTAAGAAGTGTTTTTGAAGAAGCGCAGCGTGGTTTTCAACACCACAAGAAACTCTTGACGGTACTGAAAAAGCTCCATGACAAGTCCTCACAGGATGAATTTCAGGAGGGCTTTCTGTGGCATTTGAAACATGCTATGGTGGTGTTTAACAGAGAACCTGCTGTAGAAAGAGTAATCGAATTTGTGGCTAAGTATGCGACGTTGAAAGATCACCGTACGGCTCAAGTTCAGAAGGTATGACTGAAAAAATGACTGCTAACATTCTGCCCCCCTTTCTCTCGAACAGTGCACTCCTGTAAAAAACCCAAATTATAGACCTTTTCTCTCCGCGTTACAAGGGAAAATTGTATTTAAAGCACCATTTCAGGTATTTGCTCAAAGTTTTGATGTTTTTGCAGGGAATAAAACGTAAATATGAATTAAAGAGACTAATAAGCAAGGGAAACCCTCAAAGTGTTAAATTTTGTGAGTGTTTTTTTACCCATTGGGAGTTGTTGTGGGCAAGTTGTAGAGAGAAGTAATCGTCGGTGGTGCCTTCTGATCAAGCTTCTAACACTGTTTCACACAGGATGGCCAAGCAACTGATGATGAAGACGATGATGGCAACATCTTCCTTGATTTCATCTTCACATTTCTACTGGACTCCCATGATGCTCAAGACAAAGCAGTACGGTTCCGCGTCTGTCAGCTTATCAACAAACTGTTGAATAACCTGGGTGATGATGCTGCGATTGATGATGAACTCGCAGAGAGAATCTTTGACAGCATGTTGACACGCCTCCATGACAAGTTCCCTGCAGTAAGGGTGCAGGCTGTTGCAGCAATCTCCAGGCTCCAGGACCCTTCAGATCCAGAGTGTATTGTGTTATCTACATATTTAAAACTCATGTCCAATGACTCCAGTGCTGAAGTACGTAGAGCTGTGCTGCTGAATATCGCTCTTTCTTCTCACACATTAGAGGGAATAATAGGTACATATATATATTGAATTTACTGGATGTTAATCATTTCCATTTATGTTCCTAAGCGCTGGTACTGTTTCCCATTACTAAAGTCACAGAGCTTTTACAGGAGTCTGATGGAAACCCTTTTGCACAATAGACCCTTTGCATAAAAGGTGCCTAAATTTAATAACAATACTTTGTGCATCCTAAGCCTTGTACTTAATGTTTCCAGACAAAGGATTTCCACATGAATGCGAGGCGTAGGATGTATTACTATAAGTATTATTATTCAAATTTAGGTGCCATTTATGCAAAGGGTCTATAGTCTAGTTTTGGCCCTCTCTCTGTCACACTCTAGATCTCTCCTGAAAAGATAGCATTGCATGGTCAAGATAGGGTCAAAACTGATCAGTGGGGATAGGGGAAAGGGATTATTGTTGCCCATGTTCAATTCAGAACCTTCAGTGATAAAATCAAATGACTGCCCTGAATAAATCAACTTCTTGCTTCTTGCTTTAAGGGAGAACCCAAGATGTTACGGAGTCAGTGAGGAAGTTAGCTTATCGCGTTCTAGCAGAAAAAGTGAACATCAAGTCATTAACCATTGCTCAGCGTGTGCAGCTGCTTTCCAATGGATTGCATGACAGATCAGAATCAATCAAGGACGTTTGTGCTAAGGAACTTCTTAATGGGTGGCTGAAAAGTTTTGACAATGATGTTGTCAGGCTCCTGAAGTGCTTAGATGTGGAAGGATGTACAGAAGTAGCTGAATTAGCTTTGAAAACAGTACTCGCAGGTATCAACTGATTACACAAGTTTTCCAAAAAATTAACTAGTTGGTCAATAGGCTGTTATCATTTCTCTATCACTTTAACCAAATGGTTGTGTGTTGATCTTTGATCTCTGAGTTATACTAATCCTGGTTAGGGTTGCTGGAGTGTTAAATAATGGAGAGAGGTGAGTTGTTGGGAAACCTCATAAAACTTTTAACAAGCTATAGTGTAACTCTGACTAATGGATGAGCACCCCATCAAAGGGGAGCAGGAATATGCTGGCTTAGTCCCTTCAAGTGGAGTTACAACTGTAAGTATATCTACTAAAATTACCTGAAATATCAAACATTCTTGTCACAAAGCAGTAAGAAGACAGTCCATGACAAACATGTAACCAGAAGATACATATTTGTACCAAATATTAGCACAAATGTTACATGGTATAATTCTGTTTTTCTTGTTGTAGGATTGCCAAAGGAAGATTTAAAGTTTTACATTGATTCCTTGAAGAAAGAACAAGGGGAGCAAGGCCCAGTGAGAGTCAGCTATGAAACCCTTGATGCTGAGACAGCATTCTATTGGAGATGCCTTGGAGAACATTTCAAGTCCATGGGCACAGATGGTGAAGCACTTCTGGATGAGCTTCTCCCTGAAGTATCAGGGTTTTGCAAATATATTCAGGGGTATGAATCACAAAAAATAAATTATGCTATTTCAGTGATCAGCAATAAGCTTTATAAACAATGCCACTGCATTAACTTGCATATCATTACAGGCACGCAATGCATACAGAAGCCATATCTGTTGTGATTCTGTTTGCATGCATTGCAGGCCTATGTTATCATGTATTACATGTTTATTTATTGTAATGTATGTGCTTGTTAATGCTGATATGTGAAGCTTTGTTTCAGGTATGTAGACAGCTGCTTATGCGGGACACCCCCAGAGCAAGACTATTCAGAAGGTCAACAGATATTTATTGGCAGACAACTTTTGTCATTGATGGGCGTTGTGGACCTATCTGATGAAGTTGGAAGGTACATGTGGGACAGCAACCTACATATAGCACACTGATGTACTTTTTCAAGACTTAGTTACATAATCTTCTAAAATGAGGAAACATAAGGATTAACAACTGCAGTGAGTGCTAGACTCCAGACTGGGTGACATGCTTTGTTTCAAGCCCTTGCAGGGGTCTTTATGTTGTGTCCTTGGGAAAAACATTTTTATTACTTTCAAGAGGTATCTGACAAAATGTGGGGCCATGGACAAGTATCCCATTAGTAAGGGGAGCTACCTGTATGTAGTAAGTAAGTAAGTAAGTAAGTAAGCAAGTAACTTTATTTAATGAGGGTAAAAACACTTTACAGTCATTGACTGATAAACTCGTGGCCCTCCCTTAAACAATTAAAATATATAAAGTAGTGAGCTCATGATGAGCCACATTGGCTCCGGCCACAGCAGCAGCGCATTACCCATATAGCTAACACATGGGAGTAACCCCCCCCACTCACTGGATATTGGCCTAGCTGTCCCCAAATTCCTTCAGCATGAAACATACTTCATGAGTCAAAACAAAACCATTGGAATACATGTATTTTGTATTTGTTTTCCAGGAAGAACCTTGGTCAGATGCTTCATGACCTGTTGGTACTACCAGAGATTCCGGAATCTTTAGTTGATGTACTTCATTCCAGGTACATGGACGTTCAGCCAGAGGAAGCCAACAGAATCCAGGAACTTGTTGAAATCATTGCTGATGTCAGGCAACCCATTGTCATGATTGAAACTGCTCAGACCAAGGAGGAAAAACGGCAGTGGGAACTGAAGGTTATTTCAAGTGGTGTTTTTATTTTAATTTTAGTTACAGAGTCTGATTCCTGATGGTCATTTAATTATTTATAGGGAAGACGCACAGGTATAGTGAATAATTGCATGATTCGCCATACTTGATGTACATGTAGATTACATGAATAACATGGTATTGTCAGTAAATAAATGTAGTTTGTCCAGCAGTTGATAGAAATCTTATCTGGCATCTAGGAGGTGAAATATTATTATGATCTTGTAAACTGACTCATTTTTAGGAACATTGACAAAACAGCTGTTTATACTTGAACACTGCACTTTGTACTTTTACCAACTACATTTAATTTGTTAGGTTGCTGGAATCCGTGTCAAGCTGAACCAGTTCCGTGATGAGATGGAACAGTGTGTGACAAACCAAGATTTTGGAAGGGCAGCTGAACTGAAGCAACAAATTACAGAACTGGAGGAGCAGAAGGAAATACTTGAATCAAAGGAGAACTCCTTCTCTCAGACTATCAGGGAAGAAAAGGTAAATTTCCAGTGTTTCTCTGAAGTCAAAATTTTTAAAACAGATTTCTTTGGAAAATGAGTTACATGTGTCTAGTGGTGCATTAGGAGCCTTTGTTTTCATCATCGTGACAAACACTTCTCTTAAACTCATCACAAATAGATGAGCTTGGGAACTGGTGCCTGAAAGGTTAGCAGGGAGCAGAAGCCATGAGCTGAAGGGGAGGTATCCATGGCAACCCTGGAAGTGGGAACCACCCCCAGAAGCGGCTGCTAACTGCACCGTCACACTAAATGAATCAGTGGAACCCACTTACCTGACCCATACTTACCAAGAGGCCAGCAACCAAGAGGGAGGGAGAGGAAGGGGCGAGAATCCACAAAGATTCACTAAAACACAGAGCAAATGACCCGCAACGATCAGCTAACAGCACTGCACGTGTAATTCAATGAAACACAATAGCCCTGCAAGTCTCCAGAGGGCTGCTCTGCAGGTCACGTTGTGTGAAGGGAGAAACCGCTGACTGCATTGGTTTGATTCTAACTTTGCCTAAATCATATTTAGCCACACTAAAAGAGGCTGAGATTGAAGCATTGGAGAGAGATGCTTTAAAAGAGACTACCACACGCTGACCTTCATGTCTTTGATAACTTGGTATTAATAAAATAAAGATGACATGCTTTCTTTCATGTGCCATTTCTTTTAAAGCTGAAAGGAATTTTAGCTTATTTCGTACCTTTAAAATCTTGAGCTTGACCCTAGAGGTCCCACCTGTAAATATGACCAAGGGCCACTAATCTTGGATATTTAAACTGAACCCATGTATGACAATTGAGTCACTTAATTTGCTTAATAATGTTTATTTCTTTTTATCTGTCAGGATGATCCTGATACTCTACTTAAATGTCTGACTATCGCGTCTGAGATGCTTCAGGGTGTGACAACAAGTGGACTGAACCCAACTCTCACCACTCTGGTTCAAACACTGGTAATTTTGAGACTTTTCCATTGTGGTAATCAATTTAACTGTGCTGAAGTTAGCATTAATAAGCCAATCACAGTTTTGACTGGGAGTGTTTTTCCCTTTGAATTGTAGATTCTTCCAGGTGTACAGAACGAAGATCCTTTAGTGCGCAACATGGCAGTCAAATGCTTGGGCTTATGTGCTCTACTCTCTTGTGAATTTGCTCGAACCCATCTGGTACTTTTCCTTCAGGTAACAAATTTTTATGATTAAATATCAAACATTTCTTGTGCTGGCTATTATTACTGGAAACATCAAAATCCATTGCAACTTCTTGTATGAGTTAGTTGGATATTTGCTAAAGCTCTCGTTTGATATAAGTTGTTGTTTCATTTCTTTTCCTTTGTCAGGTAGCTCAACTTGACCAAGAGCTTGTACGAGTCACAGCTCTCCAGGTTGTTTTTGACCTTCTTCTAACATTTGGTCTTGAGGCTTTCAAAGTGAATGCTTCAGTCCCTGAACTGGAACACAATGAACCAAGCACTAATGACTCAGAACAGGAAAAGTTGGACAATGAAGATGACGAGAATGAAGAAGGCGAAGAAGATGACGAGAAGAGGGATGATGATCATGTAGAAGAGAGCCAAGCACCTGATACAGATACTGCTGCAAGCGTGCTCACAATACTTACAGGAATTTTAGAGAGTGAGGTACAGCCTCGATGAAGCCTTTTAACTTGAGTTTACATTTCAGTTTTCAAGGCTATAACCACTGAAGTGAACTTACTGCAGGTGTTAAACTAATATATTTTCTTTAGTTCTTGCCCTTCAGACAAGCAGCTCTCAAATTTTGCTTGCCCTTGACAAGACCTTAGTTTACTTTTTTTATTATTTACTTGGCAGACGACTTGCCTGGACCCTGAGAATAAAAGTCACTTGCCCAGCAGGAAAATCTACTAGTCTGCAATGACCAGACGGCACTTTTTTTTTGAGCCCTGTAAACAACACACGTTTATATTTGACAGAAACAATTCTCTCTTTTTTTTGCAGAGCAATGACCTCCGCAATGTAGCTGCTGAGGGACTGGCTAAATNAGTGCAGATCTGAAAAAGGAATATTTCTTTCTGATATACAGTATTTATTCATAATTTAGGTTAGCAGCATTCATGCCTCTCTGAGCCTTGCAGTAGCAAATGAAGTCTTGTCTTGTCCTGATGCTCCTGGTGTACGGATTCTGTGCAAGACACTTCCCATGATGGACCTGACTGGCTGTGCACAGTCTACAGTCAAGGAAATGAAAATCCTCACTGCAAGAGTGATTGAGGTACTTTGGGGTCTTTAAGGTTGAGATGAGAGTGGGCAGGTGGGCAGGAAAGCGTAAAGGAAGTGGAAAAGGAAAGTATGGAAGTGAGGAATTTGCCTGGAACTGACAGAATGGGAATAGCAGAGATATTGTAATAAAAAAACTGCTGACCCTGTACCATCTCCCTGTGGCCCCTTTAGCAACAACCTGGGCTGTGTAATGATGTCTGGAAAGCTGCAACTTTTCAACCCTAACAATACAAATTAAAGCTTGAGAGTTTAAAATGTTCTGATGTTTCTACATGAATCTTTAGTATTCAAGCTTAAATTTTCGATACTTTTGACACTTTTCCTTATCCTAAATAATTAAAATGAGTAAACAATAGCTCAAATGTGACCTGTTCTACTTACAGTAATGAGATAATCAAGAACATGTTTTGTTTTTAGGAAATTGAAGATCAGGTGCATCTGCAAAGTCATTGAACAAATTTCACAAAATGTTGGAGACGATTACAAACTCTCTTGATGATGATGGTGGTGATGGTGAGATTAGGTGCCTTAGCTCCATGCATGGTGTTATGTTGGATTTGATGATTATTGTATAATTATGCAGCTGTATCATTAGCTCGCTTTCCTAGGTCTGCAACGCGTGCAGAGAAATAGAAATTAATTTTATCTTTGGACAATGAGTCTGCAAATACAGAGATGAAGTAGAATGTATTTGCTTATTTGGCACCATTTTCAATGATAACTCACCAACTTCCTATTTATTTTAACTGCTATTAATTCTACTGAGTGCAAAAAAAATGTGTTTTACACATGTATATGGGAAGCAAACAGAAAGTCTGTCCTCAAATCTTCAACAGATTCTTCCTCCTTCCCGTCCCTTTCTATAAGGGATTACTGATTATTGTTAGTTCACACTACAGACCAAAGTAGGAAACTTTGCTTTGAACAAACCCTGTTACTTTTAGCTTCATATATAATGGAATGAAATGTTTTCGCATGCCTGAAGGATGGGAAAAAAAATATTGATATAGGTTCCTGTTCAGAAAACCTGCCAACCCTGGACATCACCCTCTCCAGAAAAAAAACAATAATTAACCTGTTAAGTAGTTCATCCCTGACCAATCTTAATCAAGTTGTGACCTAAATTCAGCCCCCATGTGTACAAGTATACAGTATACAGAAGCGTGTTAAAATGGCATTCAAGTCAAGGGCATTTTCCCTTTGCAGATGATGTTTTTTCGCAGACAGAACCTGAAGAATACACACAAGCAAATACGGAGGAAACAGAAGACACCAGTGGGAGAAATGAGACAACAACTGCAGTAAATGATGCAGACACCTGTGAAAGATTGGAGGGAAATAATTGTCTTTCCCAAGAGACTGAATCTGCACAACACACACATGTAAGCTGTAATACAGAGGAACCAGGAGCCCATAGTGGTAAGTGTTGTACATGTATATAAGTATTAAACTGTAACTTAGAGAGTGCAACAGGAGACTGAGAGTTGACAGAGTTCGGAAAGTACCTGAGTGTATGATCTGATGTAAAGTGGGGTAAGTATTTGCAACAGGAGCTGGAGAAAGTATTGGGCATAATATGTTAGACCTGTGCATTAACTGTCACTCACAGACAGAGAGAGCTTTTTTACTTGTGTGACTCACTGGATATCCAAAACAAACAATTGGCATGCCTGGTAATAATGACTGGTTAGACAACTGTAATGGACAAATTCCACTTTGCCTCAAATTAAGATATGTACAATAAAGTAATACCAAATCTTTCCCTCCATCAAAGTGAACAACCATGCAAGGCAGTTCACCAATAGCCTAATTGGAAATGTGGATTTCATAATCCCCTGTCTCATAGGTAATAGGTTTCTGTCAATAAAAAGGTAACTTCAATCACATGCCTGTTAGTGATTATAAAATGATTATGAATGTTAAATCCAGAGGCATGCTTAATTTCAGTATTACTGGTGGCTTCATCATACTCTTTTTGAATGCTAACCCTTTCCTCATCAACCTCTTTGTTAGTTGCACATCCCAGTTGCCATTTACTTGCATATTTACATAGATCAAGGAATGTTTTGGTATCAAAATGATCAATTGCCTTTTTAATATAAAAAATGTCTTAAGTCTGGTCACTTTCCTCTTTCTCCTTTGCTGGAACTATTTCTGTATCAATTGGAGAGTACCTGCAAGGCAGTCTCTCACACGGCGCTCTGCTAGACTTGTGGTATATTCAGGAAGACTACAGTTACTAAATTCATGACTTTTGGCTTTCTAATATTCTTCTTCCAAGTCAGCCCTGTGTTCGTCAATGACTTTTTTCAATTCTTCAGATCCAGGCCCATCCTCTGGATATTTTTCAAGGAGTTTTCCATCAAATTTAATAAATGCATTCTAAATGTCAAAAATATGATAACTCTGTCCCACTTTGAAGGGTTACAAATGGAGATATTTTGATTTTGACAGAAACAGACTGCAGCCAATAGTGTTTCCCCCAGTCAGAGAAAGAAAACAGGAAATTCCCTAGGGTCAGTCTAGTGCCCTGGGGTGTCTGCAAAAAAGAATGCAAAATTTATGCCTTAACCCAGGCTCATCCAGAAAATAACGTTACTCAAAATTTCTTAACTCAGTGGAAATGTGTGATCTATTGAACACTGGCATTATTTTGTATAGCATTTTGTTGACAACTGCATTTTTTCTCTGACTGATCACAACATCAAGTAAACTTTTAATTAAACCCCTAAACAATACCAATCTGGGTGTGGCTGGAGCTTTCATTGACTCCTAAAAGATACCACTTAAAATGGAATAGACTTGGTTACCCACTGTTTGGGAAAGGAATCCACACTAGTAGACCGGACTAGAGAGACCAGCTGAAATTGAGACTAAAAAATGAAAATGACAGCTTTTTGTAATTGGTATGCACCATAAGATACTTTGACAGCTAAAAATAGTGGTGTAACACCCTAAGGGAGACCAAAATCCTTCATTAATTTTACAACTCTAGGCGACACAACGAGCATCCTCGACTGATTCATATGGGAGTCTCCCCGAGGGTCCTTTCCTAACAGGAAGAGAAGGCCCCTTCATACTTCCCCCAACCTGTACCATGGCAGCTAAAAATAATAATAATACCTGTATGGCTGTACCTGTTTCTTAAGTAATTAAAAACCTTGATACTTTTTTTACATGCTTAAGGGGCTGTCACACAATGCACATGTTGGAAAAATTTTTTTTAAAGTTTATCAGTTTCCCCTAATCTCTCTGATAGACAACAGATCGAACACAACTTGTCACTTATAAGGGAACTGACTGCTGCACTGGATAACGGACTACAGCGCTTAGCCCAGCATTCTGCGAGTAACAGACCCTGTTCATGTTTATTGAAACAAAAAGGTAGGTCATGCCTGCTGCCCGTCAGGAAAAAGCCCCTTTTTTTTAGAGAAAACCTGAACCCTCCCGAATGCAGAGCCAGGCACTTAACAAGAACCCCGAGGGTGTGGGGTGACAATGCCAACAACTGTAAGATAACAAAATAAATCAAAACGACATTAATAAAAAATCTTGAAACGAAAGCAAGGCAGCAGTGACTCCAGCATAGAATAGCTCAACTCAGCAAAATCCTGCCCTTACAGTACTTATGTAACCATAGAAACTGTTAAAACCAGCCAATTGTGAAAACAACAATTTGCTGTTATTCTTCAAACCACAGCAAATAATTTGTACCCCATCTTAAATTTCCTCAGTTGTGACCATTGTTTACTGCCAGTTTTTATTACACTTCCGTTAATGTTAGGAAGGAGCTCGCAGATATGCAAACTTGAATTGCTTCAAAATGTTTCACCCAGATTGTTACGAAAAATGTTTGCTTTTAAATTGCTTAGCAAGAATGTATAGAGTTTTTATGACAAAATTGTTCAGAAATTGGAGCTAGTTTTTCTTACATCTAGTTTTGTGTATCGTTTGTCACAATCAGCCATAAACTCGATAATTAAACTTCCTGGCAAGGCATCACCAAAATTGAAAGGTGAATGAGTGCTCATTAGGGCTTTGTGAAGCCTTAATGAAAGTCCATCAACCAACGTCTGAGCCACCTCTGATGATGAATCGTAAGCAGTTGGCAAAGTCTTAGTTACATCATCCACCGAATGTTCTACAATTGCAGTTACTTCAGCTGGTGTTAGAATTTCTTTGGTATGTTTCTGTTTTACAACTCCAACTACCTTTATTTCACCTTTTGTCCTACACAATACTGGGCCACCTGAATTGCCAGAACAGAGTGAACAATTTAAAACCATCAGTGGTTCACCAAACAAGGTTTTTTTGAACCCAGAGACGGTGCCTTCCAGAAACAAAGCTGTTTCTCCTGTATGGTTAACTGGATAGCCAAAACAAAACATTTTCCTCCCTGTTGACAATGGCTGGCTAGACAACTGTAACGGATGAATTCCACATTCCTTTAAATTGAGGTCTCGACAATATAGTAATGCCAAATCTTTCTTAGAATCATAGTGAGCATCTGTGCAGGGTAGATCATTAATGACTGCATTAGAAATGTGGATTTCATACTTCCGTTTATCATCAAGATATGTTTTGATGACATGCTCATTGGTAATAATAGAGTGATCATGGATGATAAACCCAGATCCATGTTCAACTTCAACCATGGTAGTGGCTTCGTCATACTCTGTTTTCATGAGAACTCTTCGTGTATCAACCTCTTCTTTCTCTTCATCATATCCTGATCCTGGCTTTGGGTACTTATCAATAAGTTTTTTGGTATCAAAATGCTCAATAGCCGTATTAATGTCAAAAATATCATAAGATGCTTTTGTAGTGGGGAAAATGTCTGTATCATCCAGAAGTGTACCAGCAAAACAATGTCTCACTCTATGTTCAGCTTCACTCCATGAGTATTCACGTTTTGTGGCATCACCACTTTTTAGGGCTTCGTTATGCTCTTTGATCAGATCATTCCAGTTTTCATCAATCAATTGCTTCAAGAGGTTCTCTCCATCATACCTGAGAAGTCGCCCTTCTTTGTGAATACGAACAACAGCTTGATATATCTCATCAATGCGGTAAGGTTCATTATTCGGCTTTCTTTCAAGCACGGGACTATCCCCTGCAAAGTTTCCAGCGAAGCAATCCTTCACTCTGCGCTGTGCAACAACCAACGAATATTCCTGACGTCCAGCTGGGTTATTACTGGCTTCCTTATGCTCTTTTTTAACATCCTCTCTCCGTTTGTCAATCAGCTCCCTCTTTTCGGCAGACCCAGGTCCTTTGGGGTATTTTTGAACATATTTAACCTCATCAAAATTGATAAGGGCATTATAAATTTCTTTTATAGTATAGCTTCTTTTCATCTTAGAAACATTGTGCCCACCACGTATGTCAAAAAGCGTAAGCGGATCAAATACCGACCATTGGTACAATCCTTTGGGAATGCTGCCTGCATAACAACTGAGAATTCGTTCTAGCGCAGAGTTCCGATCATATTCTTGTATTTCTGGTTTACAGACAATTTTAACCTTCACACAAGCATCTAGAGCCTTCCTTCCACCGTCGCCCAGAACATCATCGCTGTCCATGTCTCGAGGTTTCCTATTTTTTCTGTGTTTCTTTCCAATCTAAATTTGTCGTTCGACGATCTTGCTGCGTGCAGTGTCGCATGCCACCAGTGCGTTGCGAAATCCTCGAATGGAACGCCTGACAGATTTGTACGATAGTTCGTCGTGTAAGCCTTCACAAAACGTCCTGACAGTTTTCCTTCCATAATGCCTCACGGCCACGGCCTTTGGCATTTCTACTACCTTTCTTGATCCGTTATCTCTATGGTTACTACCTGTTACTGCTATACTTTCTGTTACCTTGATACCTTGTTACTTCTGTTCTGTTACTTCTGTTACCTTGTTACCTCTGTTACCTTGTTACTTCTGTTACCTTGTTACTTCTGTTACCTTGTTACTTCTGTTACCTTGTTACTTCTGTTACCTTGTTACCTCTGTTTCGTCTGTTACCTCTGTTACTTTGTTACTTCTGTTACCTTGTTACTTCTGTTACACTGTACCTCTGGGGGCGGTGACCTTATTGCCCGAAAAAAAAAAAAAACTCAATACCCAAAAGCATTAGTGTCATGTCTAATGAAACTGTTATCATTTCAAAAATAGTTATTTTTACCTTGATCGACAGCTTAGTTAAGTCAAATACTGATAAAAGGACTAAAAGAAACAGTTAATTCTTCCTTTATATCAAAAGTTCAAAAAAAATTTTAAAACGGCTCTTGAAATGGCTCTTTTCAGAGCCACCACAAAAACAAAAGTCTTGGTCTCCATTTGCTTTAATCCTTTTGTCATTGTTTTGTTGATGGAAGTGATGTATTCATCTCGTGCATTTCCATGATACACATTTAAACGATATATGGCTTTTCCAAAACAGAGTACAGTCGAACTTCGATTATCCGGACTCGTTGGGACTAGACGAAATAGTCTGGATAATCAAGGGTCTGGATAATCAAAAATATGAATATTAATGAAGAACAAAACTATTTAAATAAAGCAACATTTAATTGTGAAACAACACAACAATTTTGGGCTACTGTACATCTTGAATCACTCAACTCTGAGCCAATCAGAACTCACTCGAGTGTTCTTCATTAGTTACGACGCATGCGAGCGCTGCTTTTGCTCTTTAAAAGCAAAACGAATTCACTTTTGACTGCACTTTTCAATGCTATAGTTTTAAAAAGAATATTGCTACGGATCTTGATCATGACTAATAAATATTCATGACAAAATTGGGACTCGAGAAAAAGTCCGGATAATCAAGAAATCCGGATAATCGAGAAAGTAGCCTACAAGCCTGGCCTTGTCTACCTTTTAGAATGTTTTCTTCCGAGTACTGTTGCCCGCATCATCAGTGTTTTGCCCGAAAAATTTCAAAAAATTCTGAAACTGGGGGGCTGCAGCCTGCCCCCCCTCTCCCTCCCAAAAAAACCGATGAATCCATGACCAGAGTGAATACATGATAAGTGAACAATGAACAAATGGTGAATATTTACCAAGACAAAGTCAAGGTAATGTTCACTGAGACTAAAGCAAATAACTGTTTTCGTATAATTTTCAGATGTGAATATCATAAAACAAGCAAGCGAAATATTGGTACAAGAAATTAATTTATCTGGCACTTTTGTTTTATCCATGTCAACTTTATTCACAGTTGTCATCATCGTCTAAAAATCAGTTGTTGTAAGATAGCTTTAGATAAGGCTCAAATACTCAACGCAACGTTAAACACTGTCAACACAATGTCCGACATAAGCCAACTCTCATGTTCGCGAGATGTGGGGCGGCCCACGAAAACGTAAGGGACTCCACAGAGGGGTACCCACAAGTTAATATTACAACATCTCCCCTCTAACAGGATTCAATGAGTCTCTGGAACTTTTTAACTTGTCGCCCGGATCTGGTTGTAATAGGTGATCGTTCTGCATTTCTTGGTCCTTCTGCTGATTCCATTGGTTCTGGTGCTGAGTCCTTTATAGAAGGTGATGATGGACATATTGGAGAGTCAGCACACTGGGGACTTGAAGGAGGA